AATATCATAGAAAATATATGTCCTCCAACAGGAATCGAACCTGTATCCTACATATATTTTCTATGAAATTTCTCGGACATTCAGGCCCGTAAATATTGCTAATACTTTTTATTAAAAACAAAGCATTTACTTGTATCTATAAAAATAACGAGGTTAGTAGTTTAGAACTTTTTATAGTAGATAATTTAATTTTCTTGTTTTGTCGACTGGAGTTTTAGATTTCTTTATAATGTTTCTAAGGGAAGATTCATCTCTCTTATAGTTACCGTGCAGAAGGCACGGTGGTGTAAGGGATAGCGGCTCGGTTTGGGGAATCGGAGAGCCGAGTTCCAATTCTAGTTGAATCCATTACGTTCACTTACGTGCTAATAACCTTGGGAAAGGTATGAATCCTCTTCTTCTCCCCTCAACTATGGATAAATAGCGGGACAGACCGGGTTCTATAGCCTTGGATGGCAACTGGTCTACCGCAGAAAGAAATGGCAACCTACTGCGGGAAAAAAATCTACCTCGTCAGTAATGTATCTAAAGATACATGGTCGCCTAATCATGACACATAACTGACTGATAGTAAGCCTGCATTTGCTCTTTTTTCACCTTCAGTAGGCCCTGCTAGTGTCAGATTCTCCAAACCCACTTTCCTATTTGTATGCCCTTGAAGTTTCGCGATCCTAAGTAAAACTGCCTTTTTCGTTCCCATTTTCTTTAAAATTGCATCGCTTCTCGCATGTTTCTTCCATGATATTCTCAGCATCCTTTTGTAGAACCACATTTCTGTTACTTCTCTTCATCACCTGTGAGGAAAAATTTCAGCTTTCACTGTCATATAGGTGAACTGATATTCCATAAGATTTGAGCCCTGGCATATTTGTTTCCAACGTTGTTTTCCCGTTTCGTAATATTTGGCTTAGTTTCTGCAAGACATCTTTCAATGTTCCAATCGCGTCTTGATATTTTTATACGGTGTGTTCTCATTCTGATAGAAGGTGCAGTCTTCTTCAACGAAGTATTTTACAGACATTTACATATCAAGTGTTTTACTACTAGAACATTTATCAAGCATAATTTTTTTTATTGATTAATATATTTCTATTAGACAAAGAACGCCATCAGATATCGATATCATGCCATTTGCTATAATTTTTGTTTTACGGCTTTTTTTCTTTTGTTGGAAAATGTGGTAATTTATTGAATAGACACCATTAAAAAAATGACCTTCTCAGTAGTCAATTTTGGCCTTATAAGTTGTTAGCTATTTTATTTCAGGAAGGAAAAAAACAACAATTCTTGCGTTTTAAGAATAGGCGAAAGGGGGCGTAACTGTGTTATATGAATTGAACATTATGAATTGATTTTGATGTTGCCAACTGCCAAGTACCTGTAAACAAAGAAAGAAAGAAAGAAAGAGTGCATGAAGAAAGAAAGAAAGAAAGAAAGAAACAAACAAACAAACAAAGAGAATGTGTGGCATCATGCATCCTGACGATTTGAAAGAAATATTTATAGATATATGATTTGCTTTTTTACGGTTTATCAACCATTTGAGAATTATTTAAGGCCGAAAAATATTTTAGTTTTTAAGAATAATTCTTTCTTTGCATTCAAGCGATTTGGGAGAAAGAAAGAGAAAACGAAGAAGAAAGAAAGAAAAAGTAATACGAGACGGGTCATAGGCGAACACACACACGGCTTAAGAGACGGAAATGAGGAGGAAAAAGGTTATTGTTGATAGATATCAGATGTCGAAAATATCTAGGTCACCTACGAACAAGTTGTTGACCGATTTCCGCTTGTCCACGAAAAATGGAATTTTGTTATCAATGGATGTCACCAAAAAGAAGAAATCCATTGTTGAACATTGACGAAACACAGACGGTCTTCCCTGGGTGTAAAGAATTAAAAAAAATCCCACACAAGAAGTTTTCACTGGCTAAGTTTTTTTTTTTTCCTTTGACAGATTAAACGTTTGCCCTGTGATAATAAAGATTTTTTGTTATCAACACATGGGCCGAAAGGAAAATGAAATATTTTTATTTTTGCTTTAGAGACACCAGGTAGGCTAGGAAAATTTCTTTCTTAGGCCATGTCCAATTAGCGATAAACTGCTTGACAAACGCCACGTGTTAAAACCAAGAGTGTCACCTCGGCCGCTCATGATAAGGGCGATTTAATTAATTTTTTTTTAGTTAAGCAAGGTATTTCTTTCCCAAAACAAAGCCACGGGTTGTTCACGCTCGACTAAGACGTCATTTGCCAAGTGGATCACATGACGCACGAAGGAGGAGGAAAGATACCCGACCAGGACCTCATTGTCCGAGAGCAGTCACGTGACGCTCGAAGAAAATCAGTCGACGCCTCTATCCAGAGTGTAAGTGTGAGAAGCCGATACGAAGAAGTAGGGAAGTTAGTGCACGCCCCTCAGAAGCACAGTAAGAGATTGGGAGTGAGAAAAGAGTTACCAAAAAATGGAAAAGAGTGGAAAATCCCTAACCAGAAATAAGAAAGGTGGATACGTATTTAGAATTATCGAAGAACCCCTGGCACCGACAGACCCATCCCAGTTTTGACGGCGTCAATAAAAACGAAGCCCCATCAGACAGAAATCAGTGCAGCCGCGGACGGCAGGCGGAGTTGAGCCGCTGACGGCGGGCAGAGTTCGTTCGCCCCTAGCGGGCAGAAGAGGCCAGTTCGTTTGGCCCTGCGAGAAGAAGTTCGTTCGACCCAAGCTGGCGAGAAGAAGTTAGTTCGCGCACCGGCGGCAGAGATGAGTGCCCAGTAATTCAGACTCTGGAGAGAAGAGTTGAGCCCCGGACGGCAGGCAGAGATGAGTGCCCAGTGTTGAAACCGCCTCAAGATAGCTGACCAGATTCACGCAAAATTTTGGACTCTTCTGCAACCAAGAACAAGTAGTTTGAAGAGCGACTTAGAACCAGACCGCAGAAATAAGTTTTTCGACTTTCGTCCAAAGACACACCGAAACACAAATTTCTTAGAGAGTAGACAACTTGAAGTGTTAAAATTCGCCTAGCGAAAGCGTCGTGCCACAATCCACAGAACGGGTCGGGAGGTAGACACAGTCCTATGTACCGAACAACTAGACATAAAAAGTTTGTTACCTTTTTCTTTGAACTTTGTGAGTTTTCATTTTATTTTATTTTATACATATTTGTGTGTTATCACCTCCGTTGAACTCAGCTTGCATTACGGCCCCAACCCCTGTTTGATCTCGTCTGTCTAAGATCAATTCACAACGTGGGTAGGCAGACTGGAGATCAGTGCAGTTACCCTGGTAACCAGGCGTTGGAAGCAGGTTGGGAACGGCGAGGCTGGTATCAATCTAACCAGATTCCTACCCGAATCACCAAAGTGTTAGAACGTCACGTTGGAGCAGCGACACCCGGACGGAGCAGCGAGGAGCGAACAGCTGACGCCGCGGCGAAGACGTCACAACTGGCGCCGTGGTAGATCAGGATAGAACGTCACAGTCGGCGCTGCGACCGGGGGACGACGTCACAAATGTACTAGCATTTGAAAAAGAAAAAAGAGAGAAAGGAAGGAAAAAAACAATGAATGAAAACCAGTTGAGACATGAAAAAGTTGTTTGCAAATCTCAATACACTATTTACATTATTCGGACTATTGTCCCCACCTTTGTTGCCATATTTATTACAAAGTTTCGGCCGTTGTACGCTCCGGCCTTCTTCAGGTGGTTGGAATGTCGAACTGAACCCTTTATTTCGCTCACTAGTGTAGACTGTTCTAGTTCCACGTGTCATGTCTAATGGATGTCAGTTATCAGTTATCTCCTGTTAATTCCCCACTCCAAGTTCTCTACTGCCTTAACCGGGTATTGAACTCACACTCTTTAGGTCATGTCACTGGATATAACCAATGCCTTTATCCACTGAAGAAGAAGAAGAAGAAGAAGAAGAAGAAGAAGAAGAAGAAGAAGAAGAAGAAATCAAAATAGATACGAAAATGAAAGGCAAAGAAAAGAATAATAAAGACGAAAAATCAATATGAAAAGAGGTTGAAAGGGTCCGCCAGTGAATGATCTGATTAGTTGGTGAGCGTTTGTAAGCAAGCGGAGGACATTTTAAAGATTGGCTATGAGTTGCTGTGTTGAGGTAAAGCGATAGCCTTTTGAACATATATTTATATTGACATTTTACCTAGTTTTAGTGTCAGGGACCCGATCCGAAAGTTTGTAAAAGTATTTTTGGATTGTAACTTGAATTGTACATTTAACAGCGTCTACTGAAAACTTTGAACTCAAAAACAAAGGATTTGAAGACATATGTTTATGTGGACATTTGTCCTTGGTTTTGTGTGAGGAACCTGATCCCAAAGTTTCTCAAAGTATTTTTGATACACCCTGTATATCAAGTAGCTGAAGAAGAAATAGAAGAAAAAAATGAATTAAAGGAAAGGTGATGAAAAATGTTAAGATTTTGAAAAAGAAAAACAAGAACACGAGAAGAAGGGGGGAGCAATGAAGAAGAGAGAGAAGGGCATAAAAAAGAGAAATAGAAAAAGCAACAGAAGAACTGATTGGCTGATTTTTTTTTTACGGCTTATCAGCCTTTTGCATGTTATTTAAAGCTAAGAAATATTTTTAGATTGTAAGATACTTTTGGGAGATAGTAATGGTATTTTTATGAATAATCAAGTGTGGTCTCCCCTTGTTTTGTTACTCTCCTCTTTGAGAGATCTATTTCTGTTTACTGGGACTATAAAAGGACACTATATGCGGACCTTCTATTCTCAGATGAATAAAGCTTTCTTAAAGCCTACACCTGCGTAATTTTGTCATTACATGTATAATTATCCAAAATCATAGTAATTAAAGCATAAAAGGTAGAAGAAGATGTGGGTTCATACTTTTTCCAATTTTATTATCGCGTAAGTAAATAAAAAGAAACCCGAATGCAACTGGAACACGCCTCTTCGATTTCCAGTTCTGAACCGTAATCCAATACACCATGCGCATATCCATGCTTAACAGCACGTGATATTTCCAAGTGGTCTCTCATCTAGGTACTGATCAGGCTCGGCGTTGCTTAACGTCGGTGATCGTACGAGAGCAGGTGTTAGCAGCAGCAGAAGAAAACTGGACCGAAAATTATGTATATATTATAGATTTATATGTTATAGGAGAGAACATTTCGGAAAGAGCAAGATACGAAAGAGCAACCTGTCTAGTTAAGGGTCTTAGAAATATCAGAGAAGGACGAAGAAAAAAAATATTTGTAATACGAAACAAATAATATTTGTAATACGAAACAACGCAATAGTCGTGAATATACTGGGAGGAAGAAAGAAGAGCGGAGAAGAAGAGTTCAGAGGTTGTCGGTTGTTTAAAAATAGCACAAGATTTCAATTCGATGAATATTCTCGAGAATCGAGGTCGTTCACTCACATCAATTGACGAAAAGATTAGATTTCGAAAAATAAAATTATATGCACAATTGATTTTTTTCGACAGCATTTTAATCAGTCAAATCTGCGCACAGAAATCCCAGAAACACTTCGGCTTAAGCCTCCGCGATTTTATTGTTATCTAAATCCTTCTCTGATTCGCAGAATTTGGACTTCCCGCATTTCTGATACGAGAGTGGCTATTTCAGTGCACAAAGAATCCAGGTCGATAAACGCGTTACAAATACCGTATTTTTCTGTGTTTAATACAACTTGAGTATAATAAGACTCCGTGTTTCTGAACGTAAAAGTGGGGCATAAATTATATCCTTGAGCATAATACGACAACTTAGTACAGTCATCTTTATGTAATTATTTCTTGAAAAGTTGTACAAAATTATTCATTAAATCTCAATGCTGTAGATATAATTCGTTAAAATATTCAGTTTTTGACTATATTAAAGAATAGAAATCAGGAAAATGTTTAATTATTGCGTGTTTCTTTTGCTAATTTCAATTTCAAAACATATTTTCAAAGGTGCTTTGTTGTAATATTAACGTTACCGAAACATGGTAGATCTTGAATTTTCTCTCTATTTTTCCCTTTTAATCAATTTCACTGAATTTCCTGTCTTTGTGTCAAAAGATGTTTAATTACGCTGATTCTTAAAGAACAAATATGGCCGACATATCAAATAACTTTTGCAAACAATTATCAACACCTGCTTACTTTGTGTTTTATTACCTATTGTACTAAGAGTATTTGCAATCCTGCTGTTTCAAATATATATATATATTTTTTTTAATGAGTAAAAATCACTGAAAATGGCTCATTTCATACGAAACACTGGGTTTTTGTCTTAAATTTTTTATAAAAAAAAATTATCGCATTATACTCCAGAAAATACGTTAAAAGGAATATTAATACCTCGCATTAGAGGAATTTAACATGATTATCTTGCATTCGTTGTCTCTTTTTCGTTAATCACAACGGAATAATGTTTCTCCTTTTACTTCTATCCAACCGTTTCTTTTATCTCTCTTTTTATTTTTTTGTTATACAGACGCAGTTCTTTACATTATTTTGTTTTCTGTTTAATCCATTCTTTCTAACGTTTTAGACAATTTTTCATTAATTCCTTAGCTTTTTCTTTCTTCTCTTCTACATTTCCTTGTGCCTTTCTTTCTCTTTTCTTTATATTCTCGCTATCTTTTTGCATTATTCTCTTTATCTCTCCTGTTTCAGCTTTCTTTCTCTCTTACTGTAATCATATCCACGTTTTTCTCTCTTTTTTTCTGTCTCGCTCTTTTTCTTCTATTCTCGCTTTTTTTCTTCTTTGCTTATTTTTTTCATTAAATTCTTTCTATCGTTCGAGCTTTGTTTCTTCCTTGATAAATTCATTGCACTCATTCTTTCGTTTTTTTCTTTCACACACTCTTTCATCTTTTCTATCTTTTTTTCTTCTTTCTTTTTCATTGTATTCTTTCTTTCGTTTCAGCTTTGTTCTTTTCCATACTGTATTCATTAAAACCTTTCTTTCTCTTTTTTTTTAATTCTATCATTCTTTCGTCTTTACTTTCTTTTTTCATTCCAGTATTTCTTTGTTTCTTTAGTTCAACATTTGTTCCCGTCTACTGCCTTCAATAATTGGATTTACACCAGAGTCAATTGGTCGTATTTATACTTGAGTCTATATATAAAAATATGCTGAATTTATACCTGAGCCTTTGGGTAAATATTAGTTGGATTTAACTGGAGTTTATAGGTAAACAGTGTCCGTGTTTATACTTCAGTCTATTGGTAAGTATTAGTCGTGTTTTTAATTCAGTCCACAAGCATTTTACAGCGATGATAGTCTTTCTTACGGTCTTTAATCCGTTAATGGGAGGTAGACTTTCTTCTATTCTATCTTTCTTTCTTTTTCATTAAACTCTTTCTTTCTTTCTTTCTTTTTTTCTTTTCTTCCTTTCTGTTTTCAATAAAATGATTCTTATGCGTTTACGCGGACTTGTGGTTGATGGTTTAGTTTTCACACTACTACCCATTTAGCACAGACAAATCTTTTCCAGCCACTTTCTGTTTTATCGCTATTTCCATGGCAAGTGTTCAGACGATCTACATTCCTTAGTTCCACCAGTTCAAACATTTATAGCTGGGACTCGCTATGCAACGTACACAGCGTCGACTTGTCGTCATTCCCTCTGTGTTTCATTTGTAAGGGGGAAATACCATTCCATTAAGTTCTTCACCTGATCATTTAAATCGAAGGAGAAACTCCCTAGAGAAAGTTTCCCCTACAATACTAAACCTCTTGAAGTTCAGGAACAAATACTATCTGTTCCATATATCCGCATAATAAGCACTTCTTACTTGAAACTTTACTAAATCTATATACAAATTAGAGTCATATCATAATAAATAATTCCAACTTAAATAAATCAACAATGTTTTGCGGCAATATTTTGCATCAACTGGAGATTTTTTTTAATGAGCAAATTGAAGAATTTTAACACATTCAAACAGTATGGATAAAAAATAGTTAATTTGTTTTTTTTTCCGAGACTCGTCATAAGTAAAACAAATGCACGGATTTGGACGGAAAATAAAAAATTCCTCAGAATGACGTCAAAATCCGCGAAATGTTTTAATCTTTTAATAATTGTGCTTAGTTGAATTTGTAACGTATATAAATATAGGTAGAAAAAAAGCAAATGTTGATAAGATGAGGAGATTCACAAAGCAATGCCCGGGGCTCTAATTATACCCCACCCACACACCTATCGGGAGGTTCGGGGTAGTACGCGTCGGCTCTAGGTCAATGTGCTAATCTAATATATAATGTAAATATTTAAGGAGTTCGTTTAATAAATATAATTAATAGTTCGGGAGGTGACGATTAAAGAGATAATCTATTGAATAGCATATGATTGTTAAGAATCTGACTTAACAAAGGTACTGAATTTAGTTGAAGATTTTATCTAATAAATAAAATGTACTGAATAATAAATTTGAACTTCAACGGTTGTCTTTGTGTAGGAATAGACTAAACTTAAGAAATACGTGTAAGATAGACATCAGGCGGGAATAATCATTATAATTCGTTTGAAACATGAAATCAGAGAACTAGAAAAAGATTGTGTAGCAGCATTTCATTAAATCGATTTGAAAACGAACCCGAATCCTTTTGTCGTGTGAGACGGACAGCCGCTGCAGAACACTGGGATTTGTTTGTCGAATCTATCGTTCGAGTTAGGTCATAAATTGAATTGGCCTGCTTTGGGCTCTAAAAGCCGAGGTCTGGTGAACGGAGTGAGGTTGGGAAGAAAATAAATGAATAAATAAAATCAGTAAATGGCGATATGACGCCTACAAGCGGATCGATCGATGGCGGCCGTGGTGATATCGGTTAGCGGGGAAATGAAAGATGACCTACAAGGTAGGGGAAGGAGATTGGAAATATTAGGGGGCGGGAAAAGATGAGAAGCGAGAAACTGGCGATACAAAAAAAATGTTGTAGGGAGAAGATTAAGAGACGGACCCGTGGGGTGGGGTAGAAGGGACGGCAAAGGAGGAAATTATGGAGTATTTTTTTTGTTTTATTTCTATTTATATTATAAGCCTAAGTGGAGAAATTATGTAATTGAAAAGATGAGTTGAAAAGAGAAAGAAAGAAAGAAAGAAAGAAAGAAAGAATGAAAGAAAGAAAGATGGGTAGAAGCGAAAGAAAGAAAGACAAAAGGCGAAATAAAAAGAAAGTCCGAAGAAAAAGTCGGAAATAAGGAAGAAAAGAAAGAAAGGTTGACCAGAAAATATAGAAATGACGAACAAAAAAAAAAGGTACTAAAGGAAAAAAAAAAGTATAAATTATAATGGTATATTATATAGGGGAAAATAAGAAGAAATGAGAAAAATGGGAAAGCGTTAAAAGAATGAAAGTTTGAATAAAAAAAGAAAGAAAACACGATGAAAATAAAGAGGGAAAGAAATATAACAAAAACGCGGGGAAAATATCGGCTATAAAAGAAGAAAGAAAGAAAAGTTGAAAAAAAGAAAGAAAGAAAAATTTAGAAAGTTATATAGCAAAAGAAGAAAGAAAAATGTCGATTAGAAAAGAAGAAAGGATGAAAAGAAAAGCAAGCCACGTGAAGAGAAAAAAAAATATAATAAAATAGGAGAAACGTCGACTAGTTAAAGGAGAGAAAAAAATAAAACATCAAAAAGAAAGACAGGAACAATAAGAAAGAAAAAGAGAAATAATATAATAAAAGAAGAAGGAAAAAGGAGTGTAGGAAAAAATAAAAAAATAAAGGAACGAAGAAAAAAGAAGAAAAAAAAGAAAGATGGAAATATAGTGAATAGGAAGGAGAACAGTTAAGTAACTAAAGATGAAATATATGAAGAAAGAATGAAAGAAATTAAAAAGTATAAAAAAATAAAACAAATATTACTCCAGAAAAATGAAAAATATTAAAGGAAGTGGAATAAAAGAAATGCAAGTATCACAGAAAAAAATGAATGAATAATTTAAAATGAAATGAACAGTGGAAGAAAACAAAGATTTTTTTTTTTTTAAATCATAAATGAAACACTTTTGTAACTTTCCCCATCGTCCTGATTTCCTCTTCATTGTTGCCATCTTTATAAATCAAAAATTTATTTTTTCAATGAATATCTTA